AAGGTTATTTTATAGCAAATGAGGCCCTCTTGGGTTACACTGTGGGAGTTGGGTGCTTCCTGGCCAAAGGTGCTGAGAAAAATCCATTTTCCTTGGACGTTTTGGGTAAAATCTCTTACATCTTTCTGTCTTTCACTGTGTGTGGAAGTTCTTTTGTACATATTTGTTCACATAAACGAGTCAATAACAGTTCATTGTGAGCCTTGTCAGTTTGGTTTTGTCTTTTTAAACTTCTCGTGTCCAGCAGATGTAGCAGCAGAATAATGGTCAGAGTATTGTGTCAAACCTGTCTACACAAAAACTTATTTGTGTCCAGAAGTTTAAATCTGGATCGATGAAAAGATCTTGCTCCCACTCTGTGGTTGGGAGGGAGATTGAATGATGAGTTGGGGGCACTGACATTTTAAAAAGTTGGCTGAGATTAAATCTCTCCTGAATTATGTATTTCATTTGTTTGTGTTTAAGAAACCTACTGAAATGAAATCAAGTTTCCATCTTGAATAACATTTATATTCTTTTTTTGTACCATTTTTGCTTTTTCTTTCTCTGGCACATATCTGGATTGTCCAAATGGCTCTAAGTTTACAGTGAATCAGGGAAGATTTTCTGGTGGAAGAAATTCCCACCAGCCTGTCAGAGAGGTGTTTATATTAAGGCTTTAAAGCAGTTATGATCATTAATACTTGGGATTATGACAGGCAGATTAGAGATTTTTACTTTATCACAGAAAGCTTATTCTAGGTCCGGCCATGGGCTGTCGAGCAAACTTGATTAGATCCAATCTGAAACATCTATAAGAAGAGAAATAGTAGTAAAAATGTTCTAGACCTCCGTGTTTTGACTTTCGTGGAGTTTTTACACCTAATGGTGATGGTTTATTTTTCCATGATAATTTAGAGACGTTTGAGTCTTTTGAACTAAAAAGTGTTTTTTCTCCTGAATTATGTCATTTAACTCTAGTTTTAGTTTCTCGGGATGCTAATTATATGTTTGTGTGGTGAGGAAGGCCAGGCAGATTCAATTTTTTTTTTCTAATTCTAATTTTTGCTTCATTTTTCTTATGAGAACAGTGAGATATTGTTTTGTCCCACGACACTACCTTTCCACCTTCCCAAAGAACACTTGGAGATATTACTGGCAGGTCATTGTTTTCTAAATACAATCCCCAGTTAACAGAGTTCTTGATTTTAAGTAAAGAGGTATTAAATCTCTGATGTGACTCACAGAGATAGACACTGGTGCACGATGGCTGAACTAACTACAAGTTTAGTCCAAGCGAGAATGTGAGTGGTGTGCTGGTGAAAGAAGGTGTAATCCCTGAGAGTGGGGTGACGTAAACACTGTTGTTTAATAATGTCTGTAGAGTGTCTGTTGCTTTGACTCACTGCTGCACTGAGCCTGTAAATTCCTGGATTAAATACCAGGTTGAGTCTCGTCCTGTTAAAAGCGAGGGTGTCATTTGCTTCACATAATACAATCTGATGGTTACTTCTGTTTTAGTGTTTTCCTTACAGACTAGTTACACAGTAACATTTGCTCTGCGTCTTTATCATATTTTCTAGGTTTTTTTTCTTGTCATTTTCACCAAAGCAGGTCATAGGTTTGTTGATTTCTATGTATTATTGTAGGACATATCCCTCACATAATAAACACTTTGAGGGAAGTGTAGCTGTGATTTGATTCAAATGTTCAGGGGTGTATGGGCTGTAGGGATTTCAGAAAAAGGTGCAAAAGAAATGGAGTCGTTTTACTGAGTTAGGCTGACAGACGTTCACTGTTTAGACAACTGCTGCAGAAAATCCTTTAAGCATGAAAGTGAATTAACAAAGCAGAAATGTAAAGATCTGTAAATGTGTAGTTGAGTGATCATTGGTTGGCTGTGAGGGTGATTACACAAACAGGCTTTTCACTTTGTTTCACCTTTGATGTCAGTGGGATTTAGTAACATAGACCAACATCTCCAACAGTACAGTTTATTAGGACCCCAGTTTGTAATGGTTTTAAATCTTGTTATAGCAACGAGTGCATGACACACCAGGTTACCGACCAGTGAAGCTGGTGAAAATAAAGGCAACCAGATGGTGGGAAAGAGCAAAGGAAGTGCCCAACAAAAAATGGCTGCTACTGTGTGGTTTGACGGGAGAAACAGTGGATCTACAGGGTATATCAGGAGTGGAAGTGGGTTTTTGGATCTGGATATTTAGACAACTGAAACTGCACAGGCTATTCTTGGGTCAATATTCTGGGACAGAGAGTCATCATATTACTTGTTATCAAACAACAATAAACTGAGAATAAAGGGATTTTATTAAGGTAAAGTGTTGAATTATGCACATTTTCTCAAACTAAACACCAGGGCGCACGGGGCAATATTTGTAATGGTTTTAAATCTTATTATAGCAGCAAGTCTCAGTATTTTTGCATAGTTACTTTAAGAACTTGAAAGACTTCCTTTTCAGTAAATGACTGAGTCTAATAAGACAAGGGAAAGGGAAACACCTGTGAATCTGAACGCTGGTGGGCAATATTAGATCGTTATTTCTGACCATAGCTAACCGCCACTGCTTTTACATAAGCATAAACAACAGGTGTTAGCAATAGTTGGGATTAAACCCAGCAGAGGACAAGGCTTGGAATATGATATCAATGCAGTCAAATAAATTCCACTTTTTGTGTGTGTGTGTGTGTGTGTGTGTGTGTGTGTGTGTGTGTTTGTTTATGACTGTAAACTTTGTTTCATGTTGTGCCCAGAGCTCGTTTGACGGGCGCCACTTCATGTGCTATATTTGAGCCCACTTCCCCAGGCCTTTCAAAGTGCCTTTGGATCAAGGTGCTCTACACTATGTCCCCTGGGTGAGTGGGTCCAGCCAACAGGATGTGATGGCAGGCCAGAATGCAACAAGAATCTTGCCTTCGTGTTTGCTTTCCACACCCTTAAATAGAGAGAGGGAGGTAAAGGGTAACCTTAAAAATGTGGAACACAATCGTAGGAATGACTGGAGCAGCCGTAATTTGACTTTATTACCCAGATCACATATCATAATAGAAAATCCTCTAAATTTAAAGGGTCTGGGTGTTTACAGTATGCAACAGTTGGCTCTTTGTGGCCCTAAATGATGCAGTTTTAACTGAAGTTAACTTAAAACTAAAGAAAATATTAATCAAATATCATCTCATCAAATCGTAGGAATTCAAGTTATGAAATTTCATAAATCAACATTACATGATGTGATGTTGATTTATGAAATATCTCTAATTTTTAAAAAAATGTAAAATTATGTCTCTTAAAATACGTTATTCACTTAGCAAATAACAAATTAGCAACATTTATTCTGTCAGACCCCTGTAATAGGAGAAAGTCATAAAGCATTTACGTTATTCACTATTTAGTACAATGTTTAGTTTTAAATGTAGACCTGCTGACGGTGTTTGCTGTGATTTTAGTGAGCTGTCACTGTCTGTTCTGCATCCCTGAAAAGATGCAATTATTTTTCTGACGTAGTCCCTGTAATTAGATGAAGACACACACACAGGACTTTGTGAAAGCTGTGAGAATATAAAGCTGCCTGTGTGGACCAAACATTCAGTGTAAAATGAGAGTGGTGTACTGTGATGCCATGCGAAGGGTAGAGTAAGACTTTTTAAATTGCTGTAACGCCTTAGCTTTGGGGTGGCTACCAGTCTGCATGCTGTGTTGACACAATGGTAACAGAAAATAGTGGGGAACCTTTTAAACAACATCTTCTTATGCGAGCTTCAAACTGTAAACTGGTGTGACTTAATGTCATCATTTCCTCAACATAAACAGTATATTTTAGACCCTAAACTGTCTGTTTCCATTGTATTTAATTCGTATGGATTTGAATTTCACTGACAGCAGGCACCCAAGTATGGATGGAGTAGTCTGAGGAGCACATCGATTGAATAATAGTGAGGATTTGCATTTCACAGAGAGTTTTCCTCATCTTGCTGTGGCTCTCATGACGACGTCTTCAGTGACCCGTGTCTGGTTTTGGTCGTAACTTTCTGTTGAATGATCCCAGGCTCTTTCTACATAATTCGGTTTTTGTGAAAGGCCTGTTTTATGGCTGTTTGAAAGCTGACAGGCTGTGATGCGAGTTTATTAACTTGGCACAATCTGAAAGGGTTGAATTTTCGTAATAATTTTACCATGTGTGGACAATGAGAAATTCACTTGATGTTTGAGTATTTTATATTACATGCACTAGGTTTCCGTAAACAGGGTTAGAGACCCTAAAGAAATGCTATTTTTGACCAATCAATCTTATTTGCATTGCCAAAAGATTTTTTTATTTATCTATTGATTACCGATTGGTATAACTCATCCGCTTTGTTTAGAAGAAAACGGTGACGTGTGATGTGTGACCAAAATCTTCTGAATGTTTACATGAAGCATTTGATTTCTTGTTAATCTGGTTACTTGTGTACAGATTAAAGTGTTCATGTGCCACTGCTGTAACTAGACAGAAAACAACTCAATAATTGGCGTCTTGTGGTGTTGAAAAGTGACAAGAAGTTATGTTTGATTACCTCATAGAAAAATCAGTTACATTGTTTTGGAGTTTTTAACAAGCATTTGTTTCATTTTATGTCAGAAACATGCCAGACAATAAAAAGTGTAACTAAAAGCCTGGTTCCTACTGTTGTGGTGAACTACGTAGAGCCTGTGATGTAGCCTACACAAGGAGCTAATGCCATTGTCACCATGTATACCTTAGCGTGTGAACAGTGACATTTAGTCACTTGTATGCATGCTGAGGATTATGGCACAGATTTAACACTGAAGTGTGAATCCACTGCAGAAAGATATTTTTACTCGAGTTACCTTGAGTCTTCCATGAAAAGTGCATTGTTGCTCCACTGCTCATACTCAACTCTAAGAAACGTATTTTGGTTGCACACCATTGTTGGGTTAACTGGAATCTTTGTCATGGTTGCATAAAAACTTAGCACTCTCTCTTTCTCCCTCTGTCTTGCAGGACCTCCAGTAAGTACACCAGATGCTGTGTGACCTCCACATGATGAAGTGACTCAAAGTGATTATTTTTACATTTTGGTGACAAGTAGATGAAACGGACAATCCCCTGGAACACATCTGCTGACAGTAAAGCTTGACTGGATACGGTGGTAATCTGTAGTTTCATTGTGTAACTTCTGCCTGTCCACATACTTTAACAGTACTGATGATAAAGGAGCTTAGACCTGTGGCCCTTGGCAGGTCTGTGCAGGAAAAGCTGAATGCAGGCAAATAGTTGAAACTGAAGCTTTGATTAAAAGGAAAACTCGTATGTTTTAGATAAAGAAGTATTTTAGCACCCACAGAGAAATTAGAGCTTTACAAAGTCATGAAAAACATGACTCCAAACAAGGAAAGAAGACTGAAATATTGCAAAACCACAACAAAGAAAATGTATAACACAATTAGCCACCGGCATAGGTTCCAGTACCAACATGACTTTGAACCGGATAAGCAGATGAAGATGGATGGATGTAATAATTACTGCTTCCAGCTTTAGCAACATCTTCAGCTACTTCTGTTGATGTTACTTTTCCCCACTGTTCATACATTCAGTAGCTTTCACTGCAGAGAACTGAAGCATAAACTGCACATGAGGTTAGTTTAGTGTCAAACGGTGAGACACCAAACAGAAGACAGTAATCGATTTCATGAGTTTTATTGTAAACACAAGAGTAACAATGAAAAGGTGGGGGGGTGTGTAGACTGGGACGTGGGCATGATGTGCAGGATCACTGACTTGAGACACTTCAACAGAGGCAGAGAGTAGTTAGATTTTGGGATGAAGAGTGAGAACCAGAGGAATATTGGAGTTAATGGCTTAATTGTAAGGCATTAACACCACTGATTATTGATCGGTGAACACAGAAGAGCTACCTCGTCAGGACTCTGCAGTCTATTTACACCTACAGGCCAGTGGACACTCTTTCAATGATGAGGATGTAACATCCTGGACAGGGAGGAACGCTGGTTTGGAGTCAAGGAGGCCGTTTACGTGAAAAGGGAAAGACAATCTCTGAATGGAGGAGGGGCCTAAAGGTCCATCTGTCACCATCTTACAATGCTGTGATTGCAGCCATTGCCCAACTCTCTGTCAATGGTACTCATGACCATTGATCAGTGGTCATGGCAATTTGAATATTAATGATCAAGGAACTGACCTCACAGCCCATTGTTCAATTAGTGGGCTGGTTTCAGTCCTTATGCAAATGTCCTGTTTATAAGGTTGGCAACCTGCAGAAGTCACTTAGATGGGTGACAAAATGCTACGTCCAGATGAACAGAATCACTGTTATTGGGATTTCCTTACCTGGATGATTGAGCATGCATCAAAACATACTAATAGGAAGGTTGGCTGCTCCCGTCTGCAAGTATTCATGTGCAAGATACTGAACCTTGAGTTGTTGCCAATGGATTCAATTGTTAATACAGTCCTGGTCAAAAGTTCAAGATCAGTTGAAAAATGATTCATATTTTTAATGTTTGGATCTTAACAAGGTTCCAAGTAGAACTTCAACATGCAACAAGAAGAAATGGGAGTGAAACAGGCTGTTTTACAGCAGATCAAAAGTTTAGGACCACATGCTTTAAAAGGCCAAATCTGTGCAAGAATGTGGATTTGTTGCCATTTTCTGTCAGGTAGTCACACTATCATGACGTTCTGATGGCAAACAAATGTTCCCTTTTTGAATGTCGGGTTGTTGAACTGCAAAAGCAGGGTCTCTCTCAGCGCACCATCGCTGCTGAGATGGGAAGTAAGACAGTCATTTGGAATTTCTTAAATGATCCTGAGGGTTATGGAACAAAAAAGTCAAGAGGAAGACCCAAAAAAATCTCACCAGCACAGAGCCGAGGATCCAACTGGCTCTCCGTCAAGACACTGGACAATCCTCGACCCAAATTAAGGGCATTTCTGGTGCCAACTGCGGCCCATAACTATCAGATGGCATCTGAGACTTGAAGGGCCTCAAAAACAAAAAACGTCTTCAAAGGCCTCGTCTCCTTGAACGCTGCAGAACTCACCATTTGGACTTTGTAAGAGAGCACCAAACATGGGACATTGAAAGGTAGAAGAAAGTTTTATTGTCTAATGAGAACAAATGTAACCTTGATGGTTCTGATGGCTTCCAACGTTACTGGCATGACAAGCAGATCCCATCTGAGATGTTCTCTATGCTCCACAGTTGAGGGGATGCCATAATTTCCTTCAGTTGAGCAATAGAGCTTCAGGAGGTGCAGGGGCATCAAGTAGCTGCTGGCTATGTCCAGATGTTGCAAAGAGCATCACTCGTGACTGAGGGCCCTCATCTGTTTGGTAACGACTGGTTTTATCAACATGACAACGCTACAGCATGCAATGCAGCGACGAGGGCTCAGACCTCTACATTTGAAAAACCACACAGTCACAAGACTCAGCAGTCCATCTGCATCTAAAGGACAAAGGTCACTCTTTGAAAATGCCAGTGTTCACAATTTGGACAGAGAAGACAGATGGTTTGAAAGAGGAGTGAAAGAAGTCATCTATGTCCACTGTGAACGATCATCTTTGAACAGAGGGCGGGGCTTACGACACCAGCCGCCTGCCATCTATAATCTAATTTTTAGATCCTTTCGCAGATGCCTTAGCGTCCACTCAGATCTTGTGTCTGCTGATCTCAAAAATTCAAATGATAGGGTGAGGCAAGGTCTCACAATGGTTTCACCTGAAACCTCTGCTAATAATACTCCACACCCTTTTCACATCTTGGCTCATGTGATAAAGCACATGATCAATAGTGGGTCAACAACCCTGATTAGGGCCAACTCCCACTAAGGCTAATAATCTGGGGCTAACCATCATTTGGTTTTAGAACTGAAGAAGCTTCTCGGATAAGAGTTGAAATGTCTTCAAGAAACTTAAAGAAGTCCAGTTGCTTTCTTTCCAAGCTCCTTAGATCACTATGACCTGGATGACTGAGAACCTTCACAGACATCCTTAACCAACCAATCCTCATACACTCTCGACAATATCTGTATCAGCTTCCTCATAAGAAAAATGAAAGGACTTTAGTATTGTATCATTTCAGTTTGGTCATTTCATGATTAGTATTGTTCTGTTCAACCCTGTTGATTTTGGACTAGCTACAGATTGTTTTGGTTCTGACTCTTTAATGGTGTTTTTCCACATTAATTGTGTTGTATAGCACTTTTAATTACACTCTCTAAACTCACAGTGGTTGGATAATAATACTCTGAAGGCCCTAATGGGACTAATGGCTTTTTAAGAAAAAGCATATTTCATGCCCCAATATTTAAGGAACCCAGGAGAGACTTGTAGTGGTATACAGTGTTCCCTCATTTATTGTGGGAGTTACGTTCTAAAAATAACCCGTGACAGGGGAAATCTGCGAAGTAGCCAACTTTATTTTTTACAATTATTATAGATGTTTTAAGGCTGTAAAACCCCTTACTACAGGCAAAAACATTTTCACACTTTTATCTCTTGTTTAAACACTCTAAAAGTTGAAACCTTTGTAGAAAAGTCCAGTATTATAGGATGAAAGCAAAGATCCAAATCTTTGCTGGTGGAGGCAGCTACAGTTGTAGCCACAGCTGCCCTGGGGCAGACTGACAGAGGCGAGGCTGCCATATCGCACCATCGGCCCCTCTGGCCATCACCAGTAGGCGGCAGGTGAAGTGTCTTGCCCAAGGACACAACAACCAAGACAGACAGAGCTGGGGATCGAACCGGCGATAGCTGATGATAGATGATACTTTTTGCTCTCAATATTTAAGCCAATTAAAATTCCTAATGCAAACTGGTCTTTCAAATCAATTATCAAATCCAACAAGTGTTCTTCCATCCAGAGTTACTAATGTTAGGGGAACAGCGTCTCCTGTCCTCTTGTTTGTCACACAGAAAAAATGTTCCACTTTTGACTTCCAGCTAATTTGTTTTGTATTCTTTCTTTATTGGAGTTCAAAAGCCTTGATTTGAGTTCCGTTCCCTTTGTGAAAGCAAAACACACTTGACTTTTTTAAAATTTGCTCCCTCTTGTTCTTAGTCCCAGCCCATAAATAAAAGCCATTGTATTCTAGTTCCTTGTGATTTGTTTATAATGGAAGTCACTATGCTGGAAACCTCCATTGTAGGTTGGATTAGCTGAATAACAAGATGAGCAAGGGCAGTTAAGGAGATCTCAGAGGGCTTTGTTTTGCAGAAGCATGAAAACTACAAGTTCTTCCAAAAACAACCCTTGCATGAGGCTATGTGGTGAAAACTGTTGTTTTACATTAAAACTTATGTTCAAACAGTTAAACTTTTTTTTTTTAATTCATTGAATGTTGTGATGTTAGTGCATCAGCAGGATACTTTGTGCTGTCAGTGAACAGGCCAAAATAAACGATTCCCTTGCCGTAAGGTAGTAAACAGCCCCTCCAGTCATTACTACTGATTTTATTCTGGCCTGATTAAGTGCAGGTGTCTTTCATTATGTTAATTTTGTCTGTAAAATGTACTCTTCTTGTCATACTAATTTTGTCTCGTGCTTTTTTCAGGGTCCTCCTGGACGAGCAGGCTTTCCGGTAACTTGTTTTAACCTGTCTCTTTGTGTGTCCTCATGCATAGTATTGATGTGCGAGTGGTGGAGTATTAACATCTCAGCTGCTAGTTCAGAATGAAATGTGCAAATTACTACTTGTTGTTGCTTGTTGATTTTGTCACAGTTTAATGAAACTTTAATGAAAATCAACATAATAACACACCGTTATCTTAATAGTCTTTAAATAGTCTTTAAAGGACTGTTTCCCAGAAATCAGGATTTGAAAAGGTTAGACTACCAACCTGTGCACATCCTTACAGAACCTGGAATACAAATACACCAGTATAGATGTACTATTGCAGTGAACTTTGCAGTTTTTATCACTTATATGATGAAAAGTTTCAGAGATGTCAGTACAGCAGTTGAATAGCACACACACCCTAACAGTATCCATTTGTAACACTGTGTGCTGTGATTGCGCACCTGTCCAGCTCTTGGTCTTTTTGATTAAAACGTCCATTCTCCAGCGCAAAGCTTACTTTTAATGTGTCATACACATATGGAAGTATGTACATGCAAGCATGTGTTTTCTGTTAGTATATATGCAAGTGTGAGTGTGTATGTAGCTGACTAGGAAAGGCAGAAATAGGGTGTACATGACTGTTGCAGCAATCACATTTCCCTCTTTGCAAAAAATGAATTCAGAATCAGAAATGGTAAATGGCCTGTATTTATATAGCGCTTTACTAGTCCCTAAGGACCCCAAAGCGCTTTACATATCTAGTCATCCACCCATTCACACACTGGTTCTGGCACTCTACATTGTAGCCACAGCCACCCTGGGGCGCACTGACAGAGGCGAGGCTGCCGGACACTGGCGCCACCGGGCCCTCTGACCACCACCAGTAGGCAACGGGTGAAGTGTCTTGCCCAAGGACACAACGACCGAGACTGTCCGAGCCGGGGCTCGAACCGGCAACCTTCCGATTACAAGGCGAACTCCCAACTCTTGAGCCACGATCGGCGAAAGGGTTTTATTGCCAAATGTTGAGCAGGTTTACAACATTAGGAAAGTGCTGCGGTGCTTCAGTGCAAACATACTGTCATAAATTACGCTTAAATAGACATGAAAATAAAAATAAGAATAAGATAAGAATAAAAATTAAGAATAAGAATTGGATGAGATTTTACCAAACACCCAATTCACCTCACTTTACTATAATGAATGTTGTACTCTGTGGTTCCAGCAAATAATCATGTTGGGCACTTTAAAGACTCCAGGTCCAGATTAAACTAAATGCAGTTTTGGCGGTGCCAGATTCTCCCCAAAGCCCTGATTTAAATCGGGACCTTGAACAGGAATTATTAACAAGCATTATTGCATTGAATAGTTGCAGAATCATGCTGTCAGCTCACAACTAAGTCAGAGAAACATTTATTTTTTTTTTGTTAAAGTTTGGTAAATTAAAAAACCCCAAACACCTACGTTAGACTGCAAAAGGCAACAGTGTGTCTTTATGTCATTGGATGAACATTTAGTAAATATAAACTACACTATCATCTTGGAACAATCAGACTTTATACTATACACATGTAAAAATAGATTTAGGAATCAAAGCCCTGATCTGAAGCTAAAACCTGGCTAATCACCCAATCATGACTTCCTATCTCAGGTGGTTTTCAACCCGCTGCCCTTACCGTAACACTGTCTGGAGATATAAGATGGAAAAGTGTAACAAAGTAACAGGGCTACTAATAACTTTCTTCTAATGACATAAGAAATTACTGCAACTTTCTTCCATCATCTTTCATCTTGAACTTTGCAGTGTTGAATGAGGCATGATTATTTGATAATTATGTGATTGTTTTGCACAGTGATCTTCTTTCTGCTCCCATAATTTGGGCATGGCATGTTGAATTGGTTATTCTGAATAACAAAAATGATCATCTTCCTTAAAGGAATACCATGACATTAAAAACTTTAAAAGCTTTTTGTAGCAGTAATGCTAGCTGTGTTTCCATACGACTCCTGGCTACTAACTGATGTCAGAACAAAGCATTTAAGCTCTTTTAAATTTGTTATTCTCTTTTCTAGTTTTGGCTTCCATTAGGATATAAATGTGCTAACATTCATCTCACTAACATGAACCAACCGTTGTTTCTATAACGCATCAGTGAAAAAATGAGATTAGCATAGTTCCTTGCAAATGAGAGAGTTGCAGAGACGATAAGTCTGAATGCCATGGTATCCCTATAGAACATCTGATTGACTCCTGTTCCTTCTTAATTTGCATTGGACATTAGGGTGGCAAAGGAAGTATGGGAATTCCTGGGAGAATGGTGAGTGAATTGGGTTCATGCATCACCAGCACTAGTGATAGTTACATTCAAAAGCTCTTACAACACAAATGCAAAAGGATTAATGTTACAGGATTAGATTACAGTTATTTTGAACAGTATGCATTAATACAGAAGTAAATGATCAGTACTGTGATAACAAAGTTTTCTTGAAGTTCCTTTGCTAGCATTTTGAATTACAAGCCACCCAGGGTGGAAGAAACATTAAAATCCTTTGTCTAAATAGGAGTACTGATAGCGTAATGAAAACACACTAACTTAACTCCGTGCTGCCTTGAGCTTGGCCTCTAGTCTCCTTCTCCATGGACGGTACGGCTCCTTGCGGCTGTTTGTCTTAGTATTAGTATTAGTATTTTTTATTTATTGTCATTGTCAAGAACAATGAAATTATAGCTAAGCATCTCAGTCATCACTGCTGTCGTGGTGTTGATTAGCTGTTTGGTTACCATAATAGTCGAAGGAGGGATTTTCCGTAATGCTGCATTCACATCTTTGAGGAAACGTTCAGAGGGGACTTCATGTAGTCTTGGTAATCAACCATGGAAGGTCCAGGTTTCAAGCTCAGCCATGATCCCATCTCTCAGATTAGCTGCTCATGCATTCGCACTGAGTTTGGTACCCAATCTTAGAGTGTGGGGATGATGATATCTCCCCCTGACCTCAGGTTCTGCCTCCCTGTTGCTGTTTTACCTCATCAATTTCAAGTTGTGATAGCAGTTGTTTCTTCCAGATGTTGGAACACTGAGAAACTAGTTTTGCCATTAGTCGAGACGTTGGGTGTGGAGAATTCCATAGTAAAGTAAAACTTTATTTATATAGCACCTTTCAAGATAAAAATCACAAAGTGCTTCACAGAAGCTAAAACCTAAAAATATAAATCAACCAAAAGCAAGTTTAAAAAGATGAGTTTTTAGCTGTTTTTTAAAAGCGACCACTGAGTCCACACATCTCAGGCTCAAAGGGAGAGAGTTCCACAATCTGGGGGCCACAGTTACAAAAGCTTTGTCGCCTTTTGTTTTCAGCCACGTGTGCTGGACAGCAAGCAAGCCCTGGTCACATGACCTCAGGGACCTGCTGGGAATGTATGGATGTAAAAGTTCACTTATATATGTTGGTGCTTGTCCATGCAGAGCCCTGAAATTCAAGGTCAAAACCTTAAACTGGATTCTGAATTTAACTGGGAGCCAGTGCAGCTGAATCAGCAGGGGTGTGACATGGGAAAACTTGGAGGACTTGGTCAGAAGCTTTGCAGCAGCATTCTGAACAACTTGCAGACGCTCCAAAGAGGCTTTACATAAACAAGTAAACAAAGAATTACAATAGTGCAGACGAGATGAAACAAATGCATGAATGACAATTTCTAATTCGGAGCGCGATACAATGGGACTCAGCTTAGCAATGTTTCTCAAGTGAGAAAAACAGGAGCGAACCAGAGATTTTACATGGGCATCCAAAGTCAGAGCTGAGTCAATACTAACACCAAGGCTCCTGATAGACGGTTTTGCAAACGTAGCAAGTGGACCCAAGTTTTCCATAACACTAGGTACATAGGTCCCATTTCCTCTGCATGTAACCCCTTCTGCTTAGATTGCTTGCGTGATAGCTTTCCAACAGCCCTGTGTTCTTGCACCGCATTATTGGAAAACTGTGCAGAAAATATCAAAAGTAAAAATAATTATTATGCAGAAAACTGTTTCCCATCATTGTTAGCTGGATTCACTTTACAGCATATATTTAAGGTTGAACTCATTCTGTTTAATGGTCACCATCATATTCTATAAATGGTGCGGTGGGTGTTCTGTGACGACCACATATCTATGAAAAGTTGTTCGTAAGATCAGAAACACAGGTCTGCATCCTGATTTTTCAAAAAGTCAATTAAAAGTAAGATAAATCAATCAGCTGAATTAAAATGGTTGAATAGTGTGTGACAGAGTTAACAGGGGGATTAAAATATCAGTAAAAAAGTGAAAGTGGCGTGTTGGCAAACAGCTGGTTAAGCCCATCACATTCATTCATTCTCATAGATGCTAATCTGACCCTGCACCTGCTGAACTTGCATAAGTTATTAGACTTTTATTAGAATGGTCAGAGTTGCTGTCCCCTCTCCATCATGGTCAAAAGTTTACTTGCTTATATAATAAAGGAGTTAAATAACTTTTTCACGCTCCATCCTCTCTTTATCACACATGTTGGCCAAGGTAATTAACAAGAGGACACTCATCGGTTACAAAGCTAAATCACTGAAGCTGGTTTGCTTCCTAATGCTAGCTGTGTTTCCATACGACTCCTGGCTACTAACTGATGTCAGAACAGTGAAAGCAGACCACTGTGTTCTCCCCTCATGTCACCATTAAAGGCCAGAGGTTTATCCACATTTGCAAACCACCAGAAACCAACTGCTGGTCTCTCAGCTTGCCCAGCTCCAGTCGCTGTTAACGGGAGATGGACAAACCATCAGCGACAGAGACAACTACACTTTGCTATGAGATGAAATAAGCTTTCAGTGCAAATTATAACTTAATACACAATAATATAATAGTATAACTTAGTAGAAAAGTAGCATAGTAGCAGCAATACTATAATGTAGCAGAAATGATATGATTTAGCAGAAATACTACATGATAGTAGCCAACAGCAGCCTCAAGGCAGTAATGTAAAGGATGGATGCACATATTAATTGACAGGAGTTTTATGACAGCGCTGTCTGAGATTGTTTATTTGTAGATTTGACAGGGAAAGCAGACAGTGATGGAATGTATTACATTACTTTGAATGCAAGCTGTGCAATCACTTCACCCTGGAAAATAATACAAAATGGAAAAAACTAAGTGTACACACACACACACACACACACAAAATACAACAGCCCGTTATTGTCGTAGTACATGAACAATGAAATTATTGTGGGTGCTTCATACCAACTGTGCCAGAATAAGATATAAATAGTTGATATAAACAGTTGGAATAATTAGCAAACAGGAGTAATATATACAGTCAATGGGGATAAATGCAAAACAAGACAAATTCATGCAGAAATAAGAGAAAGGCCTGTCAAGAGACTGTTTGTGAGTTTGGAGGTGTGGGACCTCCAAACTCACAAACCCGAGGGCAGCGGGTCAAACAGGTGGTGGGCGCGGTGTAGTGCTCACCTATGATGCTCCTGTTTTCCTGAGAGAGGAGCTGGCGATGGCTTCCAGGGGTGGAAGAGGGCAGACAGTGATTTTGGGGCAGTGTTAATTACCCTTCCTGTTCTCAGGAAAGCCATATATATCACCTTCCTCCATTTGATTTACATATACAGTAGTTCCCTTTAGCTCTTTCACCATCACCACCTCCGTCACTAGTCCTAAAGATGCTGCATGTCCCGAGCCCTCTCCATGTATCTAACACTGGTTCCTCTCCCTCTCTCTCTCTCTCGCTCTCTCTCTCCCTTCTTGTGTCTCTCCCCCCTCTACACACCTACTTGCATGTGACTGTGTCTGCTGTGTCTGATCCCAGGGCTTAAAAGGACACGCAGGGGAGAAGGTAAGTTTAGGAACACATGCCATTAGATGGTCCATATACAAATGTAGTTATTTAGCACAGTTAAAAAAAATAACTTGATTAAACTTTAACTAAATGTTGGAGCTTAATCCTGAAATTCTATTTTTACTTTTGACTTCTTTGACTTTGCTCATCTGTGATTAACACAGCCCGATTGCAGTGAAATATAAATAGACTTGGCTAAGGTGTGACTCAATGGGTGGTGGAAGTAGTGGTTAGAGGTGCATAACTGTGCACTTCATTGTATGAACAGGGATGGGATTTGGATCTCTATTTTTCAACAGCATGTGGGTCTGTAAATGGTTTCCCACCCCAGTTAGGTCACCTGAAGTCTTTACACTCTGAAACACCAAAGTAACAATTTGTTACGCAGGCATCTGAAAAGTCTAATTTAAGACTCCTAAGTCTGTCCCCCAACTGGGGAGACCTTTACACAGGCAACGGCAGAGTACATGACAAAATTCTAGGGTGCTAAATTAGCTCACTTGGTAGAACAGGTGATCCGTGTCCACGAGGGTCAATGCAGCAGTCTGAGTTTGTTCTCTGCTCCTGAATGCTGTATTCTGTACTATGATGGACACTACACAATTTATTTAAAATGCTGTTCACTCAGCAGAAGTAGAAGATTTAATAGTTATTACCCAAAATATTTCTATTATTATGTTATTTATATTATATTGGAGAAGAGAAGAACAAATGCCAGACTGGTGACCATTATTCCAACTGCTATAAGTCTGTAGGGTTAAACACACATTAAACACACAGTCTCTAAAGAGGGAGAGTGTCAACAAGCAAAATCTTCCAATCTGTCAGATGCATATACAAATACAGATTTGTTCTCATCACTCTGAATTCTTGGCTGAAATGTGTAACAAAGGGGAAAAGCAACAACACATACCAGAGAGTCAAATGTGGTTGTTAGCCAATACATTTTTTAAATAGTCAGTCATTAAAATATAATTTTAGCCTTGGATTGCCTTACAAAAATTGTAACCTGATCATCAGGATCCATAAAGTGCGGAGGAGCAGACAATGTGGCTACTTTATGGATCACAGTGCAAAATATTTATCTTTGTAGGCTGAGAATATGCTTCAGTGGGTAATGATCTGTGTTTCGTCTCTTCCCGTAGCTGTCAGGACAAACAGAATGAAGGAATACCAAAATTATACATGCAGACATTACTGCATGTAATCTCTTAAAGCCACAGCTGATGGAAAGTGATCTTTGTGGGATTAAAAAAAAGTTTATTTAGGATGAAATAAGATCCATATTCTATGTGTCTGCTTGTGAACAACAATTGGTTTTGTTTTCTCCGAGTGGGTCCTGGTTTTGGTTGAAATTCAAACCCTAACCTGTGACTTCTCATCTGTACAAATGAAATTCTCTGACTTACCAAAGCGGGAGCACACCAAGGAAGCAACAGACAACAACCTCAAATTAAACGAACCCTCTTTTTCAATCATTACTTTTACCTTCTGGTAAAACGTGAAGTACCCTCTGAAGATTTACTAGAAGATGTAAACACAGCACTAAGGACGATACCAACTGCGACCATCCAATCAGCTAATCAACACCACGGTAGCAGTGGTCTGTAAGATGCTTGGTTACAAGATGAAAAGCCACATGGAGCTGTTTCCTCCATGGAGAAGGAGACTAGAGGCCAAGATCAAGGTAGCATGGAGAGAAGTTAGCAAACTTTTGAAGCTACAGAAAGGTGTAATAAAGAAAAGGTACCTAAGAAGTACAGAGTCCTTGGAAACTGCCAAGGAAAGACTCACAGCCTTGTCCAGCCACTTGAAGAGGTACACTAGAGAGCTAGAAGGCAGGGGGAGAAACCAGGTCGACTCCACAGAACAATCTAAGGTGTACTCTCAGTGGCAGGGAACAATATGAGAACAGCACCACCAAGGCTGGAGACGGAGCAATACTGGAAGAGCATATGGGAGAAGGACCCAATCTATAACGACAATCCACAGTGGCTAGTGAATCTAAGAGACCACAGTAAACTCCCTGAATAGTCCAGTAGGGACCACAGTGGCAGACATCCAAGAAAGGGTATGAAAAGTTGGACAGCATTAGACCCTGACATGATTCATGACTACTGGCTGAAGAAGCTGACGGTACTCCATGAGCCACTGGGAGCACAAATGAACCAGCTGCTAGTTTATGAGAGACACGCAGAAGGGACCAGTTCCATCCAACTCCCGACCAATAACCTGCCTATGAACTGCACAAGATCCACAGGACAATAAGAGCCTTCATCAGTAATGCAATGGGGATTCGGTGAACAACACTAGAGGTAGGGCTGGCCCAAAATTCATATCTCGATATTCCTTAGCTGGATGGTGATATACGATATATATCTCAATATTTTTTAAAACCATAAAGTAAGAACAAAAAGAGAGTTTTTAGTCAAAGCTGTGTCCCAGATCTCACACAGGCACTTTTATTAACGTACAGCGTAGATGTAAATAAAAAGAATTACTCCGAAATAAATTATCATTTTTTATTAAATAATAATGCTCCATAAATAAAATAAAACAATGTTGTTTTTGTGCATAACAAACTGCTCACAATTGTGCAGTCAAGATGTAAACTAAAAAGACACTGAGCATAATAACAAAGACAGATTTGCAGCTGCTCTGTTCCCAAGTTCTACTGCGTGACTGAGTTTGAAATCCTCTTTGTAACCATGTCTCTTAATAAGTGCCATATGTGGTCCTTACGCACACAATACGGTAATATTACATTGAAGCCCATGCGTATCACTCCGCGAGGCTCCTGACTACGGTAGCCGTAATGCTCCAACAATCCATCAAGCGGTGCGGCTTTGTAGCTTAGCAAAGTCGTCCTAAAACATTTTTTGACAGATTGCTGAGCGCCGTGTACCACAGAAAATCGGTTCGCAGTCAGTAAGCACAACCAGAATTCATACATAAGGTGCACCGTCGAGTTTTGAGACAATGAAAGGATTTTAGATGGCGTCAACACGTTAGCCCAGTTAGCTCGTTAACCCGTTGACGCCGTCCAGCCCCACGCACGGGGTGATCCGCGGTAACTCGTTAACGGAGATTTGCCGTGTTAATGCAGTTATGGCGTTAACATCATTTTAACGAGATCACTGCTACCAGCACTAAAATAGCAATGTCCAAATGTTTAGTTTTTACCGACCAGCTCCTCTTTGATAGTTGGCGTGTCCATCTTGTCGTTGCCTGCAGGTGAAGCGATAGGCGAGGGGAAGTTGTGTTCAGTGAAGGAGAGAGGCGAGGCAGAGTAACGTTGCGTAGAGACAAAAGTGGACGAAAGAGAGGCATTATAACGTAACATAGACTATATCGATATAAACGATATTGTCACATCTCATATCTCGTATAAAAAATATATCGATGTATTTAAAAACTCAATATGTTGCCCAGTCCTAACTAGAGGCCAACACCACAAGTAAACATCAATTGAGGGATCTACCAAGGAGATGCTCTGTCTCCACTGCTGTTCTGCATAGACATGGACCCCTTTGGTGAGATCATTGATAAGACTGGCTACGGATACCAACTATGGAATGGAGCAGTTGTCATACATTAAGCTGTTTGCCAAGAGTGAACAAGACATCGATTCACTGATCCACACCACCAGGATGTACAGCAGCGACATCGGAATGTCGTTCGGACTGGAGAAGTGTAGACAGATGGTAACGAAAAGAGGGAAGGGGATTGCACTACCAGAAGGCAATACTGCAGACATAGAGGACAGCTACAACTACCTGGGAATGACACAGGCAAATGGCAACCATGAAGAGGTCACTAGAAAAGCTGTAACCACCAAGTACCTGCAGAGGCAAGTCCTGAGGAGTCAGCTGAACGGTAAGAACAAGATCCGGGCTATCAACACCTACGCCCTGCCCGTGATCAGGTACCCTGCTGGGACAATAAGCTGGCTAAAGGAGGAGATAGAAGCCACTGACATCAAGACCCTCGTCTTGATTCTTCTATCTCCTCCTGACCATACGTAGAGAGTTTCACCCAAAATCCAGCACCCTGAGGCTGTACGCTAAGTGAAAGAAAGGAGGCCGGGGCCTAGTGAGCGTGAGAGCCACTGTCCAGGATGAGACAACAAACATCCATGAGTATATCAGGAAGACTGCCCCGGCTAACTGCGTGCTCAGTGAATACCTCAGGCAGCACAAACCTGAGGGAAGAGGAGGCGCCTCTGCCATGGAAGGACAGGCCCCTGCATGGTATGTACCACCGGCAGATAGAGGAGGTGGCTGACATCCAGAAATCCTACCAGTGGCTGGATTGAAAGACAGCACGGAAGCACTAATCATGGCAGCACAGGAACAAGCTCTGAGCACAAGATCCATAGAGGCTGGGGTCTATCACACCAGGCAGGACCCCAGGTGCAGGCTGTGTAAAGATGCTCCTGAGACAATCCAGCACATAACAGCAGGGTGTAAGATGCTAGCAGGCAGGGCATACATGGAACGCCATAACCAAGTGGCCGGCATAGTGTACAGGAACATCTGTGCCGAGTGTGGCCTGGAAGTCCTGAGGTCAAACTGGGAGACGCCCCCAAGGAAGGTGGCGAACAACTGAGTTAAGATTCTGTGGGACTTCCAGATACAGACGGACAAAATGGTGATGGCTAACCAACTGGACATAGTGGTGGTAGATGGACGAAGACGTATGTGATAGTGATCGATGTAGCAGTTCCGAGTGACAGCAAAATCAAGAAGAATGAACACGAGAAGCTGGAGAAATACCAAGGGCTCAGAGAAGAGCTGGAGAAGGTGTGGAGGGTGAAGGTAACGGTGGTCCAAGTGGTAATCGCAGCGCTCGGCGCAGTGAATCCCAAGGTAGGCGAGTGGCTCCAGCAGATCCCAGGAGCAACATCCAAGTTCTCTGTCTAGAAGAGCGCACTCCTAGGAACAGCCAAGACACTACGCTTGAAGGATAGACCGCCGCAGGATGTAAAGTGTTTTCTAATATGTTAAAAAGTTGAGCTACAACAGTAATTATCTAGAGCTATCTGTAAAACACATGCATGTCTCTGGACTATGGGGGGAAGCCGGAGTACCCGGGGAGAACCCATGCAAACACGGGGAGAACATGCAAACTCCACACAGAAAGACCCCGGCCTGATGGTGGAATTGAACTCAGGACCTTCTTGCTGTGAGGCAACAGTGCTTCCCACCGTGCCATCGTGCTGCCCATTGATATAACTGATATCAGTGGGCATTATATTGATATAATTATTCAACACAAAAAAGTTCAATCAGTTTTTGATTTAACCATCGGGAATGCGTACGATTGGCAACCATTTTATATTTATATGTCCCATGTCATTGAACAGTTTTGTGGCAAATAGAGAGTGAACCCAGATGCAGGACTCAGCAGACAGAATTAAACTCAAAATCACAGCTTTATTTAGCTTCCAACTACTCAGAGCCCCTCCTAGATGGCCAATCTCCTTGCCCCATCTCCAAGGGAGAGGGCCAGCCACCCTTCGTAGGAAGCGCATTTCCACCGCTTGTGTCTGCAGTCTCGTTCTTTGTTTACCGCAGTGACCTAACCCTCGGAGATAGACGAGTTGTCCCTGTCGTCCCCAGACTCTCCGTCCTCCATGGAAGACGGGCTAGTGGGATTAAGGAGATCCTCAGCAGCGCTTCACTCACACATGAATGTAAACATTTCTTAAAACCAAAGGAGCAAATAAAGAGTGCAGAATAAAAACACTGGATCAAAGACCCAGGACCATGACAGTGACAGTAATCCCACACTGCAAATGCTTTTCTAAATAGAAAAAAACACAATGGAACATGATCAGTGGCAGAGTGACAGAGAACGGAACAAAAAGCAGCAAATGAACCAGAACCAGAGTTAAGCAATGTGTGGAGAACTATTCCTGAATGCTATTCAAAGAAATTAGAAGGAAGAAGGTTGTCCAAGAGACAGTAGTTCAATACGTAATTGCAAGTATCTCCCATTTTCCTAGCAAAATATGAAGAAACAAGAGGTTGCGCTTCATGCATTACTGCACATTTTAATAACATTCTTCCATTAAGTCTAATCATTTATAGAACCCTTAACCTCCTAGGACCTGGCGTCCACATATGTGGACATCACATTTTTGGTTATTTAGACCAAAATACTCAATTTTGCTCTGCAAGGGCCTGATATCCACTTACAAGGACATTATACTGCTACTGTTCTATCGAAATTTAAAATGAAAATCCTCATATGTGGCTCTCATTTTTGTTAGAAACAAAAATTTGGTAAAAAAAATTAATCTGCTAATTCTTTGTTTTTACACTCATCAGGTCCCAATCAGCCCAAATATCAAAGAGAAATTAAAAATGCATGCCGTGGAAGAGTTCGGGTCTTAGGAGGTTAAACAAGGATCAGGAGTTAGTTCAGTAGCCACTGGTGTTTACCCACTATCACCAAATTTAAACCAGCTTAGAATTTAAACCCCAAGTAACCAGACATTGGTGTCACATCAGCTTTACATTTCTTTAAACATTTAAACATTGTATGTGATGAATTGCTGTAGCCATTTACCTTTTTGTTGAATCCCTCGGATAATATTTATAGATGTGAGTGCTAGAGGAAGGAATCCCTTTTCCTGTCTTTCTGTCTGTTCATAGGGAGCACCAGGTGAGCCTGGCCTGTCTATCATTGGACCAAGAGGACCTCCTGTAAGTGTCTCTCCCTAGAACTACGAACCCTTTTACCTTTAATCACGTCTGCTTGTCTATGCAGCAAATGTCTTTATTAGCTACCACTGTTGTAGAACTCATCACATCAGTTTTGTGGACACCAACAGACTTTTCAGCTCTATTAATTAAATTAGACAACTCCTTACTTTTCAGGTTTGTGGAGTACTGAGCACGGATTTATGTTGGCTCGGCCAAATTGTCTTTATTCAAGACTGAGTCACTGCTCCATGACAGAATATTGTTATATAATTGCAGAGTGCATGTGTAAACGATTGCATTGGAAGTTAAGTTAGACTGGATCACTAGTCATCGTTATTTTATCAGGGAACAAAGCTGGACGCTCCATCCTTGTCCAGCTGGGCTCACGGCTAGTTATCCAGTCATACTGGTTTCTCTTGTTTTGACCAAAATTCTCAGGTGACAACACGAGTTGAATGTTTCTCCCCGTTTATAGTTTACAGGAGGGCAGCTAGCCAGCCTAAGCATCTGTTTTTCTTAGTGTTCATTATTATAGTCTATCCTTTTGTATGCCCACTTTTCCTGTATTGTAATAGGCATTTCTAATAAATAACAGGCTGCAGAAGAGACTCTGCACAGGAGAATCCAAGAAGAGTCAGTCGCAAACACATTACAGTTGTGAACAAAAAACAGAGCGCTGAGGAAAACAGGAGGTTATGCAACCCGAGGCAAAACAAATGCTTCAGCATCTTTAGCATTTTGTCATGTCACTGGGTTGGATGAATATGTGGTACATTTTGAAGCTTCACAGTCATTGCTGGCCTGAGGCGAGACAGAACATTTTTCAGTATCTGATTTCCTCGTGTACACAGAAGGAAATCGCACACAGTGTATTCACCATTTACAAAATACGTAAAAATAGCGGAACCGTTCTACTCTCAACTACACTTTTCCAGGCTTTATGTCAGACTGTCGGATGCATGTTAAACACTCATGGTTTTCTCTTTTTTTCCATCTCTTTAGGGACAACCTGGTACAAGAGGATTTCCAGGATTTCCAGTAAGCTATAACCACCTGTTTGCCAGGGTTGTTTTTAGGCTATAATACTTCATGAATTAGCTGGTGATTGACGATTTTACTCATATAAAATATGTAAAAACATTTTCTGCACTCCTTTAGATAAAATGGAACATCAAACCAAAATATTACCATCTTCTCATGATTAGATTGCCACTTTGTGAGTGCTGCTCAGCACAGTAAACACAGACCAATAACTGTTTTAACTAGTAGCATACTGGTAACAGCACCTTCCTTCTACTACCACCAGCACTGCCATCTGTATGTCTGAGCAAGATACACAGTCTTTATTTAATTGCCAGTGTATTTCCTAAAAGTTAGAAATTGCATCTTTGTGAGTCAGGGACTATAACACAATCTAAATGTTGTACTGTCTTCTCCTCTCCTCTCCCAGGGTCCAATTGGGTTAGATGGCAAGCCTGTGAGTACCATTAAGTTCCTTTTGCAAACTGGAAGAACTGAATAATTTAGTTCCTTCACTGGTCATTAATAAAAATTCTACCAGCCATCATCATCTTTATTATTATTTTTTAGTTTAGTGATGTTATATGTTTGGATTGATTTAATTGTTTTGCCTCCACAAAGGGACAGAGTGGACCAAAGGGAGACATGGTAAGTCATAAACATAAATAGTGCCAATCAAGCACTCGTTATAATATAACATGAAAAGTACACAAACAGAACAAAAACAAAATCTTGTCCCGTAACTACCTGGTACTTCTCTATTTCCCGTGCTTCTTATTGCTTGTTGCTGTCTGCTGGGACAGACACATCTGTCCCTGCATTCTTCTGCTCCTTGTCAACCTCCACTATATGTTGGCTTGACTGTGTGGAACTCGACGCCCTGTTGTTCTTAACCACCTTTGGTGGTGTCTCCCACTGGGGCTTAGGGACTGGAAGTCCATATGCAGTCCCATCCTACAACTATCCTGCAACAAGGTCTGCAACCCTGGGCCTGTCAGCTGTAGTAGACTCTTGCCTCTACGGATCTGGTGTTTAGGATCTGTTCTTGTGCTGTCGTCCTCTGTGCTGTCCTTTAGCCACCGTTAGCTCTCTCCCAGCCGATCGTCCCGAGCAGTTGGGTAGGAACAGGAACCGTATCCGGAACAAAAGTCCATCACCAACCTGCCAAGGGAAAACTCTGGCTACTAGCAATTCTGTTTTTAGAAATATGACACAGGGTTATGTCAGTCAAAGGTTTTAAGGTTAGTAATGAACTGGTGTGTAACTTTGCAAAAAATGTCAAACTCTGTAGTTTTCTTTGTTTCCCTCCCCCAATTGGACAGGGGGGGGGGGGGGTGTAATGCAAATGGCCTGATTTTTGTATGACGCTTTTCTACTATATCTGAGCACTTGAAGTTCTTTACACAACCTGCCTCATTCACCCATTTACACAAGCACGTTTTTCTATAATTTTTAAATGTAAGTGTTTTCAATCTGTCATTCACACACTCTCTGATTGTTGCATCAAGTCAAGTCAGCTTTATTTAGATAGCACATTTCAAAGACATCAAGTGTGGGCCAAAGTGCTGAACAGAGGGATAATATAATCAAAGTTGGACTGAAAAACAGCACAGAAACACTAATCATGGCAGCACAGGAACAAGCTTTAAGCACAAGATTGATAGAGGCTGGGGTCTACCAGGTTCAGGCTGCACAGACTGTTCCCTGAGATATTCCAGCACACAGCAGAATAGTGCAAGATGCTAGCTGGCAGGTTATACGTGCCATGAGCAAGTGGCTGTCGTAGTACACAGGGAGATCTGTGATGATTATGGCCTGGAAGTCCCAAGGTCGTATCCAATTATCCAGTGGGATATGGCCTTTAGGATGGTTGAAAATGACCCAGCTAAGATCCAGTGGGACTTTCAGATACAGACAGGCCAAGTTCAAGCAGAGGAAGACAGCTGTAGCGTTAGATGTAGCTATACCAAGTGATAGCGACATCGGGAAGAAGGAAGATGTGAAGATTAAAAAATACCAAGAGCTGAGAGAAAAGATGTGGAGTGGTCCCTGTGGTAATCAGAGCACTCAGGGCAGTGATGGCAAAAATAGAAGAGTGGCTAAAGCAGATCCCAGGAATGGCAGTCGCAGGAACCTAGTCCTAGGAACACCAAAGATACTGCCCAGGACCCTCAAGATCCTAAGTCTCTGGTAGAGAACCCAAGTTTAAAAGACAGAGACCCCCCACAGGGCAAGTGGAGCAGCCCTGTGCAACAAAGTCGTTCTTTAACAAATTAAAAACACAGTGAATATAAAGTTGGGATAGACTGGATGGATGGATTTGTGCCCCTCTTCCTGAGTTCTTTAATAAACCAGTTGCTGAGATCTGACAGCTACTTGTGCAGGTCACATCCAGGCCTTAGTGGGAAGTTAACCTGAGAGGGTTCGTTCCTAACAAGAAGTTAGAACAGTCCATTTTTCAGTTTGATTGATTATTCTGAGAAAATGATTTTCACTCATGTTAAGTCTTTCACACCTTGCAGCAGCTAATCAATGCCTAGGTCATATTTAAGACAAAGTGTTTTCCTGTTGTCTTTCAGGGACAGCGTGGTCCTAAAGGACACCCAGTAAGTATCTGAGACCTGATGTCAGTCCTCTGATTACGCACTGCTCAGCTCTTTGCTACCTTTGTAACCAACTCCTCTTTTCTTTACTTGTGTTCTTTTGCTGTCCAGGGGGAACCTGGACCTAAAGGGGAGAAGGTGAGATTTTTATTTTTCATGTTTTTCTTTTATTATGGCTGGTGAGTGTACTACCCTTTATTTGATGAAAGAAGTACTCACACCATTTAATTAAAGCATCAGAAGCATAGATTGTATATAAAAGACGGGCCACTGATTTCTGGAGTCCACATTTGAAAGAGTAAATGTCTGCTTATGGCTTCCATCATGTTGTTTTTTAGAATCAGGGCAAGATAGCACAGAGCTTATCAACTTTAACTAGCATATCTCTACAGTGTGTGGTAGCAGTAATGTAAGCAGTGTGTCAGCCTCAGAGGGCAACATTATGACACCATCAAGGTGTATGCTATCACATTTGGGAAAACTCTTCTTGAGCTACAGAACTCAACACAGTTTCCATAGACTAAACTACACTCACCGTGTGAAAGGGCTAGGGTTAGGGTTATGGCTCTTTATGCCATTCAGATCAGTTTCATTTTTCTGATACTCTAACGATCTCTTTCTAATTCAACTTTTTTCGTTTATTCAAGGGTATCTGTGGCGATTACACACATCGGGTAAGGAAACATTACTACTAAACTAATTCTTTGCTGGTTCTCTTTCAGTAGAAGTCAAAGTTTAACATATTGAGTGTGTTATTATTATGTTCTTTTTTTAAGATTAACTAATAGAGTCGTTAACGATAACAAAAATAGATGAATGATAGGTAGCACATGTGGAACTGCAGTTCTTTGGCCCTCTGTCTCTGCAGTTCAGGTAGCTGAGGGAAAACAGGGTCCCTACCAGCAGCATGCTATACAGACAGATGTGTATGATTGCCAGGAAAAAGAGTCTGCTATGTAATGGAGATTTGTCTGATAAATTAGCCTATTTTTAGCTAGTCTTTAAGTTTTTAAGAAACCCCTGCAGCAGTCTGGAGGGGCATTCCTATGGTATAAACACAGTCCAGGCCGCAGTCTTAGGGAATTGCTGTTTGTGGAGTTCAGATGTTAATTTAGTCTTAGTAATAATAGACAGGCAACAATGTCTTGTCAAATACTTTGTTTCCAATATTTACAGGTGAAGATGGCTCTAATACGCCACTGCCTTTTCAGTTATTCACCTAGCTCAGCAGAGAGTCAAGCTCCGCCTACCTCTATGCTTTTAGGAGGGTCAGGTTGAGGTGGTAAATCTGCATTGCTCTGCCTTTGTCAATTTGCACAACCTCATAATCAACATCCACCACTACCATCACCTCAAAGGGCCTTGGGCATTTGAGTAATTTGAAGTTGGATGAAGGGACTGATGCAAGTGGATTTTCTCTGATAATTATCTGGTTCTAGTTGTTTATTAAACAACTACCATTCAGAGTTGGGGAATGGCTGCAATCACAGCTTTGTAAGATGATGACAGATGTAACCTCAGAGGTGGTCTTTCCCTTTTCACGTAAATGGCCTCCTTGACTCCGCCCTCAAACCAGCGTTCCTCCCTGTCCAGGATGTGAACATGCTCATCATTGAAAGAGTGTCCACTGGCCTGTAGGTGTGCATAGACTGCAGAGTCCTGGCCTGACGAGGTGGCTCTTCTGTGTTGTAGCCAGAGGTTGTTTGGTTTCTCCGATGTATAAATCCTGGCAATCCTCCTGCACTTAACAGCGTACACTATGTTACTCTGTTTGTGTCGGGGGACCCGATCCTTGGGGTGGACCAGTTTTTGGTGCAGCGTGTTTTGGTGTTTAAAAGCCACAGAGACCCGGTGTTTAGAGAAAATGCATCTCAGCTCTTCTGATACTAAAGATTCGATTATGTAAGCTGGGCGAATGTTGACCTCAGTTCTGTATGTAACTTTCTGTTTGATTTGATAATGAAATGGTTTGTTGCCTAAAATGACAATTTCCATGGTGTGTAGGGCCTCTTTGTGCAGGATCTTCCTCTGAAAACCCTGGCTGCATTACGATCAAGTCATACTCTGTTGAAGGTTTGTGGGTGTCTCTGAACACCCTGTTTGATAACCCTCACTGGGTGCTGCGAGGTCATGCCACAAAGAGAGCCAGTGCCCATGAACAGAGGCACTCGTCAACCTTCTGCTTTCCACCCAGAGAAAAGAATAAAGATTCATTAATCAGGATCAGCTTAATGCATTTCCTTTTTGGTGACACAAAACCTTTACTGAGTATTTACTTGATGCTTTTTTTAAAAACTCCAAGTACTCTTTGCTACAAGCCACAGTCACACATTCAGTCAAGTTTTATTTTGTCAACGTAAGATATCAAAAATCCTTTAAGGAGCCTTAAATTTCCACTTGTCAGCATGTTCATTGTTTGTCCTTTAGTTTTGCATTTCTGATACTTTTTCATTTTTATGCATCTCAACATAAAGACAAATATTCCCCACAGGAAAGACCATTTTTATCTGATTCATTCTTAATATTAGCAGCAGGTGACTTATATCCATCTAAAGCTGTTCTCAGTTGTGGTGGATCACTGTAATGGTTGGAGACAAAGCAGCAGACTTGCCTACTTTTACTCTTCCCTCACCTTTGCTTATAATCTGCTGTATGTATTTCCATAGAACTTCTAAGTGATCTTCTGAATAAAGAGCGTGATTGGTTACATAGCAAAACAGGCATCGTCTAACTGAAGTCAATCAAATGTAACATTGGATACGTGTTAAGACAGAGAAGACTGGCCAGGAATTATTTTGGGTTTACTTTATTGATAAAGGTGCTTTCGTTTTAGTGGCATCATAAAGTTTGTGGAAATATGTACGCTTTGTAAAAAGTAGGCACGTTTCATGCACTTGGGAAAACAAAGCTCTCATCACAGGTTTACTTGTACTGACCTTTTATCTGATCGCACTGGTCATCTCAACAGAAGCGACGTATTGTACATCCCTGTGTTGGACAGTTGGCCACAGTAAGTCTGAATATGTACTGTAACTCTACTGCTGTACTCTCTTTGTGGCAAGACAGGCTCCTTCCTCTGCTCCACTGCAATCTACGGGCCTGAGTAACAGTTAATGGGGATGCTGATCCACAACAAATCCTGCACAGCAAACAGCAAGGCTCTCTGCTGGCATCTAAGAAGCAAAACAAAATTCAGCATATAATTTAGAGCATATCAGTGCATGGACCATCCCCTTTGCAGCTTCAGGCCTATAGTTTGCTTTACTGGGGCCTCTTTTTTAGATTTCCTTTCTTCAGCCTTATTTCCTTTTTTCTAATTTGACTTCCCATTTCCTTTCACCCTCATTTCTTTTTCCCCTCTACATCCCTCCCCCTCTATCCGTCTTTCTCCTCTTCTACCCTGTTTCCTTTCTTTGGCCTCCTGGTGACCTTTGCCCTGTGACCTTTTTGCATCGCTGGCCACCTGTGCTTTGTGACTTCCCCCCCAGCAGATGTTGCCCATCACCGTGCGCAACATGCCCTCAATAAGCCCTCTAATATTAAAACGCCTCAAGGTACAATTGTGTATGTCCCCTGCTTGCCATCCAACTTCTCTTCCTTCCCACAGCTTCTCTCTGCTGCCGTGTGTGTGTGTGTGTGTATATATGTATATGTGTATATATATGTATATATATGAAGGTGTGCATAAAGCTGGACAACAATGGTACAAAAATTGGGTTGTATAGCTTGTGTAGCATTGAATTAAGATAAGATGATGGTTAATTAAATGTCTCTGTATGATGGTCTCTAGAGTCACAATTAAAATGGTGTTCTTGAAGGTTTTCATATTTTACACCAGCCTCAATCATGTGATTGGTTTTCAGAGCTTTTGGATACTTGGGGTTTTTTGACCTCATTGACAGGGAGGGTTCACATCATTGAATAAGAAAGGCACTCTTTCTATTCACTGTCTTCTTGATCCACACTGGTAACTGTGGACAGCAGTCCAGAAAATGAAACCTCTGTGATTGTGTTATTGCTAAATGACTCTTTGGTCACTTTTGGAGCATCTATTGAGCATATGCTTGCATATCCTGTCAGCTGAGGGTCACAGGTCAAGCATGTAGAAACTGGGTATTAATTGAAAAAGTCATTGTTCTCCAGCATAATAACTGCTCGCCCTGTTCCTTAGCTTACCTTGCTCTCTCCAACACCACAGCACTTGCTCCCCACCCTTTATTGAATTGATTGCAGTGTAGTGTGAGGTTGTTTGGACATGGCTGGTGTGGCTCACTGTAGAATGACAGGTTTTAACTCAAACTCTCTTAGCAGGGCGAGCCTGGAATACAGGGGCCTGCGGGACCTCCGGGGCCACCCGGTCCACCGGGAACACCGGGATCGGATGGGGCCAATGGCCCACCGGTGAGTCTTAATCTGAGTTTACCTCTTTATATATCCTCTGGTGTCACGCACCATGGTGTCAAATTTAAATTTAACAGACTTTTCCATCTCAGACAAGATTTAAGAGACTCACTAGTATAAAGGTTCACTTTATATGAATGTATTTACTGCTATGCTCTCACTAGAGGGAGGGGCATAATGTCATTGTTCACAAGATTATGACATGGCTCGTATAGTCTTTGTAAAACAAAGTTTTATGTCACACAGGGTAAACCTGGGGAGCCAGGCAAACCTGGAAAAGACCCAAGGGTAAGCATTAGTGTTGTGACTCGTCATGTTTTTCTAGAGCCTTCACATTATTAATTCATGCAACATTAACGTTCTTCTTCCTTCTTTATGCAGCTCTTGCCTGGACTAAAGGTGAAAAAACATTCTTTCTAATACAAAGTGCAAAATAAAAACAGCATCACTGTAGCCCGCCGTGATGAATTTAGAGTTGTAGGAGTCAAACAGGCCACATGACACCAAGTCAGAAAGTTTTCAGTGTGCCTGATGCAAACGCTCCACGGGATGCATTAATTGTTATGGATTGTTTGAAAGCAGGAATGTGAACTGTGAGCTCAGATGTGACGCAGAGATGTGAAATGCTTACTGCGGTAAATCAAAGCTGAATGTATAGATGCTTTATACATATACACTTATTGTTTTATGTCTTCAGGGTGAGCCAGGTGTGCCAGGACAAAAGGTGAGCTCCCTTCTGTGTTTTACATTTAAAAAGTATTATTTCAACTATGCTATATTCCAGTAGACACATTTTTCCTTATGAACGGAAAGAAATGACCACTTATTTACTAATGATGGACGTATGTATCGTGTAGCTTTGAATACCTGCGTACGATCAAAGCAGAAAGATTAAGGAAGTAGTATTTTATTTATTTTTATTTTAGTATTTTATTTATTTTTATGTTCATAATGAACTCTTATATTTTTACTTTAAAAGGGAAATAAAGAAATAGGGCTCAGTTTTAATAGGTTTCGAGACACCACTTTGATCATCTGTTGGCTGTTACTGTGCTTTCAGTGTTTATTAGTGTTATTATTTTGGTGTTTGTATGTGTGTCTGTTTGTCTCCACAGGGGGATCGAGGTGATGTTGGCCCAGCAGGCCCAAAGGTATTTACCTTCTGCTTTATGTTTGACCCAAAGCATCAGGAGAAACTCTCCAACACACTCTAAGCTTTTAAGATCATCCTCTAAGGTTTGAGGACAGTTTGCAGGATACAGTAGCTTGCTCCAAGAGATCTAATCTCCTGATGACAAGTGCCTTTAAACCCTATCACTGGTGACAATATTACTATTTATTTATTTATACTGTTTATTATTTACGGTTGCGGATGCTGTGTTTTTCTTTGCTAGTCTTTTCTCTCTCTCTTTCCTTCTGTTAACTCTCTTCCCATTTTCTCTTTCTTTCTCTTTCCTGTCCTCCGGTCCTGTCCGTTCTCAGTGTAATAACTCAAAATGAAAAAAATAAATAATAATAATAATAAAGGTCCAATAAAATATGTCAATCAAGTGGACCAGTAAAGCTGTACTGGTTTACATGGGAAAATAAATCCTTCAGACTGCCCTTGTCCTTCACACAATGATTCTGATTGCTCTAATGTGGACAGGACATACAAAAAACAACAAAGACAATATTATTATTAGTTTGTGTCTTTGTCCAAACTGTATAATCGAATAAACAGTTGTAGATTTTAATGTCTCTGCCATCTGGATATGAACAGTTATAGCAACGAATTCACAGTATAAATCTATAAGATGTGATTTTGCCCAAGAGCTCAAATGTTGGCACTTGTGAAAATAAGCTGCTGCTCTCCTTCTGTGCAGATTATTGTAAATGTTCCATCTTATCTGTTTTCTGCCATGAGCCCATCAGCTCACTGACATGAAACATTACTCACTGAAAGGACTACAAAATATCGTGTGCGCCATCTAGTGGAGAGTATAATTATTGTTAAATTTACAGCATTGTTATCTGCTTCACAGGGAGTTGGGGGAGACCAAGGAAATAAGGTAAGAGGAAGTAAAATAAGGCACCTTTTGTTTTTTCTGAACTACTCACTTTAGTAAAGTAAAGCTGAGTTCAAAGCTGAAGAGCCCGACACAGACTTCTCTTCATAGTTTCTGGCCTTAATTCCACGAGAGGATTTAATTCAGTTCCATAGTTTAAGCAGCTAACAAGAGGAGGCTGTAGCTCTACTTCTGTCAGCTCCCCGTCTCCCTGTGGTCTGTTTCCCCTTGGATGAAGTGGACTGTCTGCTTGCTTGAGCTAATGTTTCCATGCACTGTGTGGGGAGGTGAAAGAGTGAGGGCGTTCCCAGAGAGAGGCGAGAGAATGAAAAATAAAAGCCAAGCAGGGAGCTTGTGTGTGTGGCATTTTAAGGATTATTTATTCATGCCAAGATGGCAGATGTCACTGCTGGAGTCTGGGTGATAGGAACATGCTTTAAATGTATGAATCAGTAGAAACAGGCTTCAAATCCTTCTGCTGTCTGTCTCTGAACACAGGAAACTGGAACTTACCTGGATGCACTTATGTCTTAGATGCTTGTCATGTCTTAGAGGCTTTACCACACAGAATAATTAAATATGAAGACATTTATTGTCTTGTTTTTCTACATGGTGGACTCTGCTTCCTCTGTCAGCACTGCAGCAGTCCCAGCAGACCTGGGCTCACAGTACATCTCTGTACTGGCCACATTAGGATGGCAGGGTATGTTTTCTCCATTAGGGGCCTCAGACAGATGGTGGCAGGAGGAAGGTTAAACTTGTATAGCATTTTGTATCCACAGGGAGCAGCAATCTGTGAAGGCTTTTACTCTTTAATAAAGAGAAAGTGATTTCACAGGCTGAACCTTCAGTTCCCAGAAATAGTTGCACAAGGAAGAATAATCTATGAACTTAGGGGAAATTGGTCCTATAATCTCAGAGAAAACTCCTGAAACTCCCAGCAGGAAGCTCAGGTCTAATGACACACAGGGAACAGACACATCCAACACCTCCATCAGTCATTGTTGCAAAATACTAACATAGGTGGTGTTTCTGAAAGCAGCTCTTATTAAAATTGTCTGTTCTGCTCCCATATTTTAAATACAATAGCAGTAAGATACTGGATTTCATGACCAGGAGAAGTGTGTGCCCACATTTCCTTCACTGCAAATGAGGAGGAACAATTAAATAGCCGGAGGAAATGATGAAGAATAAGATAAGAATAAGCAGGAGGGAGATAGACATTATTTCACACAAGTCATTCTGTTATCCAATCCAATGTCTGACTTTATGAAGACATTTTAGTTGCTTAGTTGAACTTTACACATTGTTGACGGTTCATCTGCTCATGATTCGCAGCAGGAAGGACTTGCAAAGGATAGAAACGGACTAGAGGTGGCTAGAACAATAGTAAAGTAAACTGTGCAAATCTAATTGAAAAGACATTTAAAAGTTGCTAGAATACGAGGTATTCAGTGTGACATGGTGACTGCACATATACTTTCATGTCCTGTTTATAAGATTGGGGGAAACCTGCAGTCAGCTGAGACTGAAGAAGTCACCTGGATGATGACAAAACGTTTCTCCCACAAAACGCTACGTCCAGATGAACAGAATCAACTTTTGGAGATGCACATATGCTGTTAGAATATCTTTCAGATGAAACTTTTCAGTGGCGTTTTTCTTGTTTCTGTGTCTCTGTGACACATTGAATAGGTGTTGAAGCAGATACTGTCACTCGTTGGTGCACACATGGAATTTGTAAGCGGTTATGGAAACTCTAGCAGTAGGTGTATCTCCTTGTGCTTCTTGACTGTTAGGACACTGGGCTGCAACACAAACACAATGAAAGCAATACTGCAGTGTCATCACTGGCTGATTACGGTCCCTTCAGTGTAAGAGTTGCCGATAGGTCTTAAAGGTATCCGTATGTGTAATTTGTTTTTGTAATGGAAACTTTGTCAGTGCACATATATCTACACACACTGTAGGTCACAGTAAAAAGAAGTGTTAAAATGCAAACTTTGTGAACATTGGACAAACTTTGAGTTTACTGATGGGACACTTTGGGATCATCTCAAGTGAACTCTTGTGTTTTGAACCACCACATCCCAGGTTGTCCTGTAAAAGTCCAGCAGCCATTTCTAGAGGAACTCTGCTCATTGTACCTTCTCAGGCAGAGCGATCTTTGCTGGGCTTTTTTGACCAGTCTGGAGGTGCTGAAGGTCCATGTCATATCACTGTAAGAACAAGAAGCACTCGGAGAGCACAACCTCCATTACAGCAGCAATTAGTCAATGAAATTTTAAAAAGTTATTAGATCTTTAAAACAGCTAAACACAGGCATTGCATTTTCTGCAGAAGACTCATATCTGCACAGCTGAAGTGTTTCAGTCCAACTTTGACTCAAGATCAAGAGGGGCAGCGATCATGATTAGCAACAGTAAACAATTTACGGTTTATAATGTAAAGGCTGATTCAACTGGGTGATATGTGATTGTGGCTGGAAAACGATGCTTCTTTGCACCTAACTAAGACCTTGGAAGACAACCTCGATCAGTTCCATCCTCTGGTCAGACCACATCTGAACCCCCTTCACTTCACTTACCAGCCCCACTCAGAGTTGTGGAGCTGATCAACCTTATCTACATTTTCATGTTTTTTTTACATTTTCATCAATTTTCATCAGGCCGACCCTGCTGGTTAAAAAGCTGACCGTGGTTATCAGCCTGCTTCCTTGGGGGTTGTGGTCCAAGGTGACTTGGGCCTCTTTGTCATGAGGAGGGGAGGGGGTTCTTGGGCACTTTGGCCAATCTCGGGTCACGCTGACATGGTCAGCCTCCGGCAGGTTGGGCTGCCCCTTGCCTCTGATTCTCTGGGGCTCGTGTCTTTTGGCTGTGAGGGCTCAGTTGGGGGCCTTCATTCTTCTTCTGGGGTGCAAACAGTTCTTATAGATATGTGGCCTTGGGTCTTGAGTACTTTGGGGAGCTGTAGATGGCCCAGGTCTCCTACGTCTTTCTCTACCTCCTTCTGGCCCCTGGGGTGCGCCCTTGTCATGTCTCATCCTCATTACCAAGAATATGTCGTGATGAACACTCACAGACACTTTCTGAAAGTTTTGTTAACATGATAACTCGAGAACTAGGCAGCGTAGGATTTTTACATTCAAACCGTAGGTGCATCCACTAAAACTCTCAGATGAGTTTGAATCCCTGTGACACCTTTTCTGAACATCACCTAGAATCTACCACGAGGCGGCCACTATTGTTTTTTTCACTCTTTGTGGTTCATAGTGGTTTTGTTTATTTATGGTGGTTTTGTCATCTTTCTGTCATCATAGCTTGTTAGTAACTCACCCATTTCAGTGTGTCAGTGAATATATCCGTTCCAAGATGGCTGTCTTTCCGTGCTGCTGGATTTTGCTCCCTCTTTGACAGAATGTGTAGTCTTAATGATTGTTTTCATGAAACTGGCTAATTCTACCAATCATTTCTATCAACCTTCATATTGCCACTATTTGTTCAATTCATGAAATAGTAAATGTTTAACTGTTAGAAGCCACGGACAGAACGGTTAGACAACAATGTCCCCCAGGGCCACTTACCAGCTTACTATGTATTTATTTGCTCTGGAACTGCTGACAGTATTCTTCAGAGGACTGATTATTCTTGATTTTCATGGAGATAAAATTGGAGATAACAGTGTATGCCATTGGTTAAGACCTTTTCTATATGTATGACAGGGAGAGAAAGGAGAGCTGAACACTGGAGCCCCGGGAATTAAAGGAGAGCCTGGTTCACCAGGACTGCCGGGACTAAGAGGACCCAGAGTGAGTGAAATACAATGCCATGAAACAGCAATGCAATTATTACTTAAAAAATGCTTAAGTAACTCTAACTCTGTGAAGTTACTGCATAATATTAGAATATTTTTATTATAGGGTGACAAAGGATCCCAGGGAGAAAAAGGAGGATAAGAGCACTAGAAATAAATTTTGAAAGGGCCTTTATTCAGAAAAATATGAATCCTATAGCATATTTATGCCTAACCAAAGTCTTATGTCTTACATCAACTAATAGGGGGAAGCAGGTATTCAAGGCCCAGCTGGCCCAAGGGTAAGTTCTGGATGAAATAAAAGTTTTTATTAACATGTGTCCACTGAATTGACAAATGGCACATCTGCACCTTCTAGGGTCTGCCAGGCCCGACTGGGGAGCCAGGAAGGGCTGAAATCCAGTATGAAAATGTATGTCGCTTCATATGAGTTTCACTTTCTCATCTACAAAGAAAGTAACACATTAAATAAAGCATTAGTAACATTTAATATTTCTTCACAGGATATCCGCAACATCCCCCTGATGGTGAGTATTTTCTAGATTGTATTGCACAAAATGCAAACATATCTCATGACTGAATCTCTCATCCTTATAGGGCCCTCCTGGATTACCTGGACCTCCAGGGACACCTGGAATCCCTGGAGCCAAGGTAGGAGAGTATTTTAGAATAACACAATGCCAGATGATGCTTGCACGCTGTATAACTAAACATGCATACTTTTGTCATCATTCACAATGAATATATGGTAATGTGCATATTTTACACTCCCCTATGGTTTCAGTTTTTTGTTCTGTGGTCTACACAGGCTGGGGTTTGGTGATAAATTATTTTTCTCTGCTTGTCCATCAGGTGGATAACTAAAAATCTTGTGTAGTAAATTTGACATTGGCAATGACAATTTATTAATGTGCTACATTATTGTGTTACTGTGTGAGAATGTTGCAAAACATTTTTATTAGTGACCATAAATGTCTTTTATTTGATCTATCTTCTAGCCTTGACACTCTGCCCTCTGTTCATGCATAGCACTCACAACTTATTACTGACTCTGTGGTGGAAGAATCTGTAGAATTGTTTGCTAATAATCTGGCTGAGACTGATGGTATAAAACTGGGTGCAGCTTCCTTCATTTCAGATTGTACCGGCCAAAGTGGCATCTCTCAAATCTCCTCCTCGGATCACTGAATCTATCCGCAGTTTTAGGTGACGTTGCTGTAGAGCTGAGCAGCTGTGGAAAGCCAGAAAACTTGAGGCACATAAGGGTTATTAAAAGGAAAAAATTCCTTTTAATAAAAAATAAAATGATAAAAAATGTGAGAGTAGGAAAAAGAGATCCTAAGGTTTTCTTTGATACACAGAATAGCATTGTTTGTCTCCAGTCTTTTCAGATAAGGATTGTAACAACTTTTTAACATTTTTCCAAGAATTGGATAAATTGGACCGTCTTAACACAATTAATGGCTGGATGGCAAACAATTTTCTGCAGCTTAATACAGACAACAGAGCATTAAGGCCCAAATCAGACAACGTTTGGTGTCTTTCTCATCCACTGTAAAAGCTGCTGCTCGGACACTTGGGTTCACCTTTGACTTTTGATGCCAAAATCAAGTCTGCAAGCCGTTGTTTCTTTCTTCACATAAGAAATATCACTAAACTCAGGACTTTTGTCTCTAGAGGTGAATTGGAGATGTTTGTTCATGCCTTCATCTCCTCCAGATTAGACTATTGTTATTAGGACATGTGACATGTAAATGGACTCCTTCTTATATAGCCCTTCGCTATTCTACCTGAGCACTGACAATGCCTCATTCACCCACTCATACAAGCAGTTTTTTCCTATTCTGTTTCTACATAACTGCTAACATTCGCACACATTCATACTCCAGTTGAGGTTAGTATCCTGCCCAAGGATATTTGACATGCAGACTGGAAATGAACCACCAAACTTCCAATCAGCAGATGACCTGCTCTACCTGCAGCCAACCCAATGCGACATTTTACATAATAGCATGAATGTCTAGTCTCTATCTGCAAATGTTGATTTGCAGATAGAGCTGCAAGAGTCTGCATTAAAACAAACAAACAGGCTGTGTTAAAAGAGGTTTCTCTTTCAGTCATAATGACATTGGTGTGGATGTGCAGGTATTGTAAACGAAGACAATTGTCTGGTTTGCCTAGTTGGTAATGCGACCTTGGTTTGTCCTTAGGGTGAAGTTGGTCTACCAGGTCCACCAGGACTGGATGGAGAGAAGGTAATATTATGTTGTCTCCATGTTATTACTCAGGTCTGATTTTATGAGGTTCCTAAAATCCAAGAGTGTGGGTGATAATTACACTTAACCATCACTGATTTGATATAACACACATTTAATTCATGCAGATTTCTGTTGTTTACATTTAATAAAGTGGAGCAACTTATGATCCTCTATTTTCAGGGACCTCGAGGGAAGCCTGGAGAACCTGGTCTCCTGGGCCCGGCAGGTCCTGAAGGTCCCAGAGGAGAGGGAGGTGTCATGGGCTTTCCAGGACCCAAAGGCACCAAGGGTGACATGGGTCCATCTGGATCACCTGTAAGTGACTACGTTAACCACACAACTGTCTTTGAAGTTCCACATTATCACTGTTCCACATCGTTGTCATCCAGAGGGTACATCTTGGTCTTTCTCGCTACACTCTTATCTAATTAAAGACTTGGAAGAGACCCCGAGAGTGTCAAAGACTGTAAGTTGGAGTTCTGTGCAAGAAATTAACTGATGCATTTGCTATATTTGGTGGATCAGGACATCTTATTTTAAAATTTCTTCTAACAAATTTATTGGGGGAAAAATACAGATTGTTTGGAATCTGTCAATGCTGGGACATATTTTTAATATTTGTGCATGTTTGAAGTAGATCTTTCAAAAAATATTTATTTGTTAAAAACTATTTACTGAACTTGGAGGATAGAAATAATGTCTCTATCCTATAGTGTTAGAATCAATCTGATATCAGAACAAATATTTGAATTGATCAGCCCACCTTTAGCAAACCATCTCAACCTCGCCCACCCCGAATGCACTTCTGTGCAGTTTTCTGTGAAATGCTGTTGCGTATTTTAAAATCTCAGTTTCCCTTTTCTTCCATCCTCATGTTTGCATTCACAACATGTTCTTCTTTGTTAGTATTGAGTGAAGTCTTGGCAGACGATAGAGGCGATACTGCCCCCATCGCTTCCTGAAGCTTATTGCAGTTACAAAAACACATTTACGTGATGTTAGTATATGACCTGTCAATGATAAAATTGTGCATCAACAAATTTTTATAGTCAATGACATTATGATTATGCCGATGAATTGTTGCAGCAGTAATTAGGTGCATTATATATTTATGAATTTAATATGCTTAGAAACCTTGTAGATCTTCACTACTTGGGTGAGATTTGCTGTATAAGACTCGGGTTATGCAACAGATGTCTGACAGTAAGACATACAAAATGTAAAACAAAGTAGGCACCAGGCCCCAAGCATAACTATGTGACCTTATAGTACACTGAAATGTTCCCCTAACAAATGGTTCCTGTGTACGATGCTATGCAGTGTTGCCTCTCAAGCTGCAAGAGATGGCTGGTTAGATGGCTGTGAGGTAGTGAAATGCTGTGCTCCAAGTGCTGTATCAAATCGCACAAGTGTAGTATGAAATCACAGATGTCCTGTAATAGTTTTGTAAAATATGGAAATATATCACGAACCCTTTGTCCCTGTGTCTTTCCCACATATTGTTACAGGGTCCAAAAGGTGAACCTGGAGATGGAGGAAGGTTAGAATCGGTAAGGATTATTTATAAACTGAGTTTTATAATTTTCTGCTTGTCAGTGCCTTATAAGCACTACTTTTAAAACTGTGTATACCCTGCCTTTAGATCTATGGTCCTCCAGGACCCCCAGGACCAGCTGGCCCAGCAGTAAGTCAGATATGCCGCGTAACTCTTATCTTTAAAAACAAAAGTAATGCATAACTGTAAAGGTGTTTCATGTGACACACTAACCATGTTTTTAAATGATAAATAGGATGCTTACCTCCTGTCCTTATTGTCTTTATACCCAGTTTGAGCACTAAAAGCATGTTTTTCGTTCACCCAATCACACACACATTCACACAGTACTTATCTATGTCTAAGCCATTTATTTAGCATTTACTGTACATGCACATTCACATGGATACACTGTGGACAAATTGGGGTTCAGTATTTTACCAAAGAATACTGTGAAAGATAACTCAAAGAGCCGGGGATTGAGTAGCAAACTTCCTCTACAACCTCAGTATGATCTAATGAGCCTTCTAATACGGTCAAATACATAAACAAGCAATACCATCAAAACCACCTGCTAAATATTGATGATTGGTGTAAAGTTTGGGACGAAGTTGGAGCCACAGACTGGAGCATTACTGCAGGGCCTCAAACAGTGCCCTGTGGTTTGAAATCTAAACTCCCCAAATTCCACCAACATGTTAAGTGTCCTACCAGGGGGGACAGGAAGCTGGGCCCCTGTACATGGTCTTACGTTTATGTTGCCCTGTGGTCAGTCAGGCCCCACACCTGCTTGTAACAAGCTGTACGTGGATGCTACATGTGAAATTAGCATGACTCCCTTTAAACATCAAGTTCAACGTGTGGCTTGAAGGCCAAAACGGCAGATAGTTCCTGTGCTATGGGATGCACTAACCAGCATTTATTTACAGCTGCCAGAAGGGCGTTGAGTATAGCACAAACATGTGAGGACACATCTCTTTACCTGCCTTACAGGCCAAATCGCACTAATCTCCACAACAATCCAGGCTCTCAGAGGTGGCTAATTTAAACTCCAGGAATGGTTAACCTGACGCTGGAAAAACACTCTTTCAACTTTACTGTTTTGACATGACGTTAATGTGACAAATTAGTACTACTGGAACCTTTCTAGTCATACACAGTGAAAGCCCAAGTCAACCAAGCATAAGATTTAGGTGTGGTAGTTTATTTAAGATAGCTATGCGACACTTACCTTTGCTTTAATGATGAACACTTTCTTGTTCTTCAGCTTCCACCAGTGTTGGTCAAGTTACTTGAAAAAAGTAATTCCCCTTCACTTTTTGCAATTTTTATCGAACCTCTAGCAGCAGCATTTAGACAGGCTACAACAATTAAGGGCATAAAATGTAAGAA